GGCATGCGTGAAAATAGCACGATGCAAATGACACTATGACACAAGACGTGATCCGACAAATAATAGCAAGAAATGGAGCAGTACAATATTTGCTAGAAAATATCCGACACTAGGGTATTTTTTTAGATATCTATCAAGGCTGGTCAGACAAAGTGGAATGCCATCTGTTGAGTTGGGTGATTTACTTTCAGGCCACACCCGCCAATGTTAGTAAATATAAAATGCTACCTTGAAAAATCTTCTACTCACCCGTTCAACAACTTTTATAAATGGTATTGCCAAGAACGCATACTCGTGGTGAAAACAAACGCACTCTCTGGTTTGAACTCTGGTTTTACCTTGTAAACTGTCGGTGATTGACAGGCGTACTTTGTCCGTTAATATTTACTCGTCATTGAGCATTTATTTACTTTTTTGTAACTTTTGATAATATTTATTAAACATGTCAACATACCTGGGTAATGTATGTAATAGTACTGGTACTGGACGAGGCGTTATATCCCTAACAATACTAGTATATACCTCGTACTTGTACAATTTCATTCTACAATCATTTTGTTTTATTTGTGATTTGACATAGATATTGAATGGGTCTGGTTGGTGGGTTTACCAGCCGTGCATGTGATATCTTGATGCACAGCCTTGCCGGTTCTCATCATATATTACCTTCACAATAACAAATGTTAAAGCGAATGAGTCGTCACCTGCGCATGCGTCATATGGCCATAGCGTGTCATTGTTTGTGACGACCCTATCATTTTAACTGAAATGAATGTTGTTGTTTTTTTATGTGCAGACACCTGCTATGAGAAATTATCAAGGAAGAGATTCATGAAGTATACCATGCAAATATAAAGAAAAAAATACTACTGTTGAATATTAATGACATGAAACATGGCCAATAAACAATGATGTCATCATCGAACAAAGCTCAGCATTTACATGTTTAGGCCAGGGGGGAGTTGCATGACACGATTGGTTGAAATAATCGTCTCATTTGCATAAATTAATATTCATGAGCAATGAAAAACTCGTCTTTTCAGTAAAATTGTGCCAAAATGCTTTCCGATAGCATACATGTTAGTTCTAAATTGACTGCTTCTATCGTAACGAGCTGAAAAAATAATCGGAAAAATTGTGTAAAGGTATTTTTTGAGACACGTTTTCGATCAGACTCCAGCTAGCTGTTGAAAGTAAGCACAGGTTTTCTCTTTACCATGATCATAGCAAGTTACGAAATTCATGGAGAATGCAGAGGCACGTTTAAATTTCACTCTAGTACTATTGCTCAAAATTGCTCAAAATATTTTCGGTGATTTTTATCAGTGACAAGTTACCTAATTAGTATGCATTTCGAGTAACCACAGTGTGTGTGCATGCGCAGTTTGAAATGGAACAGTTTTGAACGCAATAAAATCACGCGTAGAACTCGGGCTCCTGCAAGAAATTGTGGCGTCAAACTGGTTGTCGGTTGAATTGTTTTGCAATAGACATAATTTTGGAGCCTGTAGTTGTCTATGAAATGTTTCTAAGTTTTGTTGAGGATTATTTTGTAAAGAAATTGCTGAAATTATTTGATGTGTTCGTAAACGGGACGTTGTTGCTTTGACGATGGGCTACGGACGACTGACGTCGAAACGTTTCATTCAGATCGGATGACGCCCTCTCGTGCCAATCCCCCCTGGTTTAGGCATAATTTGTCAAATATGATTTGGTAAATAATTTACAAATTATATACCATGATATCATTGATACGCAATGTTATGCTAATTAATGAAGCAATAAACTGTCAGATTGTCTCAGAAATCAGTAACCGAAAGAGCCCATGGTGAATGCAAAACGTTGTCGGCGACGGGCAATCGGTTTCTTCTTGCAATGCTACATCATCGTCGCAAACCACGCCCTCTTTCGGCAACTGATGGTTGCCGCCAGTGGGCGGAAAAATACTCTGGCGGCGAGAATGTGCTACATCGACATAAACAAAATAACTGTTCTTCGAATCCTTCTTTGCCGTTCCATGTGCACAATGACTCATAATAAATACCATAACAGCAGATAGCATGCCGTGCCAGGGTCAAATAACAGATCGACGAATGAGGGCGCGATAGCACACGAGTCGAGTGGGCCGCAAGTTGGTGGGTCCCGACTGAAGTGAACGCAACTGCTGCAGTCAAACATGAAGGATTACAAATTCCGGCGAGTGCGGAGATCCCTTAACCTTAACGCAGCTTCCGATGGTTGTTATGTGTAGATAAAATAAATATTTTCTGAGCTAATATTTTTTTGCAAAGGCGGCATGTTCATTTTAAACTCTTAATCTGGTACGATGCATAAGGTTTGTATTTGAACGAGCTGGTTTTGAAATGGCGAACTGGTACTGGGCATGGAAGGCCGAGTGTTGCAATATTTATTAGAAATATGTATGTGCAAGAATTTAAATTTATATTTATAAATGACATTTAAGCCTCCATTTGTATTTATGAATTCCCGTTCGTATTCGTAAAATCTACATTCTTATTCGCAATACAAATTTGCATCTGTTTTTTTGTGAAATTTGCATTTGTATTCGTAAAATCTTCATAAAAGCTATTTTGCTGGACATACTAGTATTTTTATTTATAAATGTATATATTTATATTCGTAAACGCAGAGGGCGCTCTTCACCACTGACTTCAAATTCGTTCCAACACATCAGCCCACACACAGCAGCCAGAGACAACAGACGCAATGGATCCTTTGCCAAACCAAAGGAAGTGACCCTGCAAATGTGCCTTCACGTTGTTTTACACCGATCCATCCATCCATTTCCCAATTTCTGTTCAGCAGGTTTGGTTTTCGCAATTACCAAAACTTCAAAAAATATATACTAGATCAAAATAAAATAAATATACAAAAAAAAAAAAAAACTAAACTAGAATCTTATTTTAATCAGATTGACTATAATATTAGTCATTAAAGTCGACACATTGATTTTAAGTTCCTTTCTCACTGTATAGTACCTTTAATTGAGCTATGGACAGCAGGTCAAAAACTTATACACGATTATGATTTTATTCAGTGCATTAATAACAAAAGTAATAAAAAATAAAATAAAAATAAGTTTATAGGCAAAATAACTAAAGCCCGTACACTACATCAGATTGTATTATAGTATGCTTACTTGCATTCATCAGATCTACTTCACAGTGGTAACGTTGGTGCTCCACCTATTTGGCCTTCTCTGAATTACCAGTGTGGGTCCGTTACCACGCGCGGATTGAGGGGGAGGCGCACCAGGCGCCCCCCTCAGCCCGCACAAAAAAAATGACAAAACAATTGACAAATGCAGTCCAGCGGAGTTGCTTGGACGTGTTCGGCCGCGTCAATAGAAGCGCGCCCTTTGATTAATTCTCAGAACCGCTGTAAAAACTAAGTACAAACACAGTCACTTGTTACCCATAACAAGTCTTTCATTAACAAGTGACTGTGGTACAAATCACTTTTTTTCTTCAACTGTTATCATTCAATGTGTTAAATAGCCATGCTTCTTACCGCTTTGAGTATTTAATTGTTGTATACGTTTCTATGGACAGTGGCTCATACTGGGTCGTCGTACGACGAAAACAAATTTTAATCAGTCAGAAACTAGACATAACGAGACATATAATACACGTATATGGTAATTGAACAGGCTGGTAATTGCGATATTTTCGCGATGTTCGAATATCGCCCGGGCGTCCAATTACAAAGACTATCGTCCGAACTATATTTCATTTTCTGCAAATCAATTTATTTATTTTATTTATTTATTTATTCATGTAAAATTAAATGCGCCGAATTGATTTGTTTGTAAAAACAGAAACCCCGGCACAGAGATTACATGACATTGTATCACGCAACACAATATTATAATAAAGCGCCCTCTTGAAAACATCATCAACATATTTAAAACAAACATTTATTTAATTTATCCGAATATTGTGATTAATCCGAATATCACGGCGAGTAATACAGTAGTAGTAACAAATGGCTACATAGTTCTACATTATATAATACTATGGAGCTCCATTGCAATACTAATGGAAAGTAGGAGTCACGTGATTGTATGCAAATTTGTTGAGGTGAATACCAGGCCAGAGGTTGTCAACCGACCACGTAGGTTAATGCTGTGTACAGCGTGGATTCTTCGTACCGTGGAAGACACAAGTAGTTATATTAATAAGTGGACATGCTTGTACTGGTAGACAATAGCACGGGCACGCTTGTTGTGGATAATTGACTAAAGTGCATAACATGCGCGATCGAAGATGGATTTCAGCGAAGTGAGAGCGTGGCCAGATTCTGAATCTGATTACGAACGCGAATACAGAGAAGAGCTTCCGCTACGTTCAACTTATTTTACTCAGCAACATTTTGAAGACAGTGGGACCAGTGAGGTCGTTATTAGACAGGCTGGTAACATACCCAACCAGTTCACAGAATCGGAAACGGCATTCACCAACGGCGATTGCTTCAGGTTTCGTTCCCCGAGTCCCTCTACGATATTCTCCGATGCGGCGATCGCTTTGACATGGACGGGCATCACGGTTACCCCGGTACAGCATACATACAGTAGCTATGAACCGTTCTATTCCCGTAAACTGGTGAATTCACGTCAATTATTACGTGGGGGTAGGTACCATAATCTTATGAATTATAAGATAGATGTGATCGATAATGCATGAACATTTTGAATTGAATCTGTATGGTATTATATTTTTCAGTTTTTTCTTTTATCGCACTCCCCAGCGTGGTGCTTTTGTTATTGTAATTTGTTTCGTCAAAGCCATCAAAGCTTAAAACAAAATAAATCTCCACAATCACTGAATATATAAACTCAAGGACTCGACGAGTCCTAGACCAGAGAAGGCATGACAACTCGAAAAATGCAAAAAACTTGCACAGTGATTCCCAGTATGGGGGCTATTTATGTTACTAGTATTAATTTTCGTATCTACCATCCTCGCGTGACAATGTATGAATACGATATGGCTATAATAGTATCTTGGCATGGTGGTGGTGTGAGTGAAAAGTACTTTCAAGTTTCATGAATGTAGAACGAGCACTACTGATGTGAATGACCTCCTTTCTAGTGCACTGGTACGGATTTCTTAGGAAGGGTCATTGACCCAGGTTTAAAATAAATGTAAGGTCATCCTGTTACTACATGTGCAGACCCTAATGATACGTGTTTATTTCTTACTGTGTGTCTCTAGAATGGAGTACATGTATCTGGGGCCTGGATGTAGGTCAGATTTTGGTCAGATCAGGGCCAGATGTCAATCATGGAAGATACTTCCATGTGTCAATTGATATTACTGGTATAGATGCAAATATGGCATGAGTGGATTGTCTGTAGGTGTACGTGTCTGCCAAAGTTTACATAAGTGATTCAATGACTAAATTATATGACAACCTCTGGATATATTTATGATTACATTTTTTAGGTCAAATATCTTTAGATATGTGTATCTGGAATCCCTACCTACCCATATTTTATGAAAATGAGCCCCAAATTCTAACTGTTTTTAATTTCAGTTTACTTCCTCCTATGATTTGCTAGCATTTGTATAAAGGAAATGTTTCATGAAAAATAAAGATGTAATTTTTCATAATACATGTAGCGTAAAGGTTAAATTACATGGTTGACTCATGGAGTTGACTGTAGTTGGCAGACAGTACATCGACCGATTATAATCCCTTGCGTGGTAGCAATGGTCGGCTGATGGTAGCAATGGTCATCTGGGATATTGCATGGGTACCTAAATTAGGTGCATCGTCATTTCAGATATTGCACAGGGTACATGCATTAGGTGCATCATCGTTTGGGATATTGCACAGGGTACCTGCAGTAGGTGTGTTGTCATTTGGGATATTGCATGTGGTACCTGCATTAGGTGCATCGTCGTTTGGGATATTGCACAGGGTACCTGCATTAAGTGCATCATCATTTGGGATATTGCACAGGGTACCTGCAATAGGTGCATCGTCGTTTGGGATATTGCACAGGGTACCTGCATTAGGTGCATCGTCGTTTGGGATATTGCACAGGGTACCTGCAGTAGGTGTGTTGTCATTTGGGATATTGCACAGGGTACCTGCATTAGGTGCATCATCGTTTGGGATATTGCACAGGGTACCTGCAGTAGGTGTGTTGTCATTTGGGATATTGCATGTGGTACCTGCATTAGGTGCATCGTCATTTGGGATATTGCACAGGGTACCTGCATTAGGTGCATCATCGTTTGCGATATTGCACAGGGTACCTGCAGTAGGTGCATCGTCGTTTGGGATATTGCACAGGGTACCTGCATTAGGTGCATCGTCGTTTGGGATATTGCACAGGGTACCTGCAGTAGGTGTGTTGTCATTTGGGATATTGCATGTGGTACCTGCATTAGGTGCATCATCCTTTGGAATATTGCATGTGGTACCTGCATTAGGTGCATTGTCATTTGGGATATTGCACAGGGTACCTGCATTAGGTGCCTTGTCGTTTGGGATATTGCATGTGGTACCTGCATTAGGTGCATTGTCGTTTGGGATATTGCACAGGGTACCTGCATTAGGTGCATTGTTGTTTGGGATATTGCATGTGGTACCTGCATTAGGTGCATTGTCGTTTGGGATATTGCACAGGGTACCTGCATTAGGTGCATCATCCTTTGGAATATTGCATGTGGTACCTGCATTAGGTACCTTGTTGTTTGGGATATTGCACAGGGTACCTGCATTAGGTGCATCATCCTTTGGAATATTGCATGTGGTACCTGCATTAGGTGCATTGTCGTTTGGGATATTGCACAGGGTACCTGCATTAGGTGCATCATCCTTTGGAATATTGCATGTGGTACCTGCATTAGGTGCATTGTCGTTTGGGATATTGCACAGGGTACCTGCATTAGGTGTGTTGTCATTTGGGATATTGCACATGGTACCTGCATTAAGTGCATTGTCGTTTGGGATATTGCACAGGGTACCTGCATTAGGTGCATTGTCGTTTGGGATATTGCATGTGGTACCTGCATTAGGTGCATTGTCATTTGGGATATTGCATGTGGTACCTGCATTAGGTGCATCGTCATTTGGGATATTGCACATGGTATCTACATTAGGTGTGTCGTCATTTGGGATATTGCACATGGTACCTGCATTAGGTGCATCGTCATTTGGGATATTGCACAGGGTACCTGCATTAGGTGCATTGTCGTTTGGAATATTGCATGTGGTACCTGCATTAGGTGCATCGTCGTTTGGGATATTGCACATGGTACCTACATTAGGTGCATTGTCGTTTGGGATATTGCATGTGGTACCTGCATTAGGTGCATCGTTGTTTGGGATATTGCACATAGTACCTGCATTAGGTGCATCGTCGTTTGGGATATTGCACATGGTACCTGCATTAGGTGCATTGTCGTTTGGGATATTGCATGTGGTACCTGCATTAGGTGAATCATCATTTAGGATATTGCACATGGTACCTGCATTAGGTGCATTGTCGTTTGGGATATTGCACATGGTACCTGCATTAGGTGCATTGTCGTTTGGGATATTGCACAGGGTACCTGCATTAGGTGCATCGTCGTTTGGGATATTGCATGTGGTACCTGCATTAGGTGCATTGTCGTTTGGGATATTGCATGTGGTACCTACATTAGGTGTGTCGTCATTTGGGATATTGCACATGGTACCTGCATTAGGTGCATCGTCTTTTGGGATATTGCACAGGGTACCTGCATTAGGTGCATTGTCGTTTGGGATATTGCACAGGGTACCTGCATTAGGTGGATTGTCGTTTGGGATATTGCATGTGGTACCTGCATTAGGTGCATTGTCGTTTGGGATATTGCATGTGGTACCTGCATTAGGTGCATCGTCGTTTGGGATATTGCACATGGTACCTGCATTAGGTGCATCGTCGTTTGGGATATTGCACATGGTACCTGCATTAGGTGCATTGTCGTTTGGGATATTGCATGTGGTACCTGCATTAGGTGCATTGTCGTTTGGGATATTGCATGTGGTACCTGCATTAGGTGCATCATCGTTTGGGATATTGCACATAGTACCTGCATTAGGTGCATCGTCGTTTGGGATATTGCACATGGTACCTGCATTAGGTGCATTGTCGTTTGGGATATTGCATGTGGTACCTGCATTAGGTGCATCGTCGTTTGGGATATTGCACAGGGTACCTGCATTAGGTGTGTTGTCATTTGGGATATTGCACAGGGTACCTGCATTAGGTGCATTGTCGTTTGGAATATTGCATGTGGTACCTGCATTAGGTGCATCGTCGTTTGGAATATTGCACATGGTACCTACATTAGGTGTGTCGTCATTTGGGATATTGCACATGGTACCTGCATTAGGTGCATCGTCGTTTGGGATATTGCACAGGGTACCTGCATTAGGTGCATCGTCGTTTGGGATATTGCATGTGGTACCTGCATTAGGTGCATTGTCGTTTGGGATATTGCATGTGGTACCTACATTAGGTGTGTCGTCATTTGGGATATTGCACAGGGTACCTGCATTAGGTGCATTGTCGTTTGGGATATTGCATGTGGTACCTGCATTAGGTGCATCGTCGTTTGGGATATTGCACATGGTACCTGCATTAGGTGCATCGTCGTTTGGGATATTGCACATGGTACCTGCATTAGATGCATTGTCGTTTGGGATATTGCATGTGGTACCTGCATTAGGTGCATTGTCGTTTGGGATATTGCATGTGGTACCTGCATTAGGTGCATCGTCGTTTGGGATATTGCACATGGTACCTGCATTAGGTGCATCGTCGTTTGGGATATTGCATGTGGTACCTGCATTAGGTGCATTGTCGTTTGGGATATTGCATGTCGTACCTGCATTAGGTGCATTGTCGTTTGGGATATTGCATGTGGTACCTGCATTAGGTGCATTGTTGTTTGGGATATTGCATGTGGTACCTGCATTAGGTGCATTGTCGTTTGGGATATTGCATGTGGTACCTGCATTAGGTGCATCTTCATTTGGGATATTGCACATGGTACCTGCATTAGGTGCATCGTCGTTTGGGATATTGCACATGGTACCTGCATTAGGTGCATCGTCGTTTGGGATATTGCATGTGGTACCTGCATTAGGTGCATTGTCGTTTGAGATATTGCATGTGGTACCTGCATTAGGTGCATCGTCGTTTGGGATATTGCACATGGTACCTGCATTAGGTGCATCGTCGTTTGGGATATTGCATGTGGTACCTGCATTAGGTGAATCATCATTTAGGATATTGCACATGGTACCTGCATTAGGTGCATTGTCGTTTGGGATATTGCACATGGTACCTGCATTAGGTGCATTGTCGTTTGGGATATTGCACAGGGTACCTGCATTAGGTGTGTTGTCATTTGGGATATTGCACATGGTACCTGCATTAGGTGTGTTGTCATTTGGGATATTGCACAGGGTACCTGCATTAGGTGCATCGTCGTTTGGGATATTTCACAGGGTACCTGCATTAGGTGTGTTGTCATTTGGGATATTGCACAGGGTACCTGCATTAGGTGTGTTGTCATTTGGGATATTGCACATGGTACCTGCATTAGGTGTGTTGTCATTTGGGATATTTCACAGGGTACCTGCATTAGGTGTGTTGTCATTTGGGATATTGCACAGGGTACCTGCATTAGGTGTGTTGTCATTTGGGATATTGCACAGGGTACCTGCATTAGGTGCATCGTCGTTTGGGATATTGCACATGGTACCTGCATTAGGCGTGTTGTCATTTGGGATATTGCACAGGGTACCTGCATTAGGTGTGTTGTCATTTGGGATATTGCACATGGTACCTGCATTAGGTGCATCGTCGTTTGGGATATTGCATGTGGTAGAAATGCAAATACGATAAGTAAAAATACGCAATATTTTCAAGATGGCAGGTTTCAAAAAAATCAAAACAAAAAAATAATTGTCAGCACCTTTCCCTGAAAAATTGCTCATAATAAGATTATTGTGACGACACAGCAATGTACACACTCAGACAGCAAACAGTCTGGACCTCTACATATACAACTATACCACTAGTACATACTGTCTTCATACATACTGTAAAATTTTCACTGGTTTTAAATTTCGCTGATTTACCATTTCAGGCATATTCAGTGGGTTTTAAAAAAATTTATGGTTTTTTCATTTAGATAATGTGTTCTATGCTAAATTTCACACATTCACTGAGGTTTAATTTAGCGCATTTTCCAGTCAGCGAAATAAGCAAAATTAAAACCCAGTGAATAATTAATTCTTTCACAGTACCTTGCAGTATCACAAGCATAACATTTATATTTGCATAATATTGTGTGTTATAGGACAGATTGGAAATTCTTATCACATATTGTTACGTCACAGACTGTGAAACTATTTTTCACTGTACTCCTCACCTTAGGTTATTATATTACTGTATGTATTTATTTTTACAATTATTATTCTTTATTTATTTTTTTAGCAAACAAGCAAAATTGCCGCTTAGTGTATGAACATTTGACATTTTTGTGAAATCAATCATTTTCAGATAAACAATTCTAGAATATTATAAGGTTATTACGAGGATACCTCAAAGTATGCC